ATGAATTTGTTTTGAGTTTCACCTGACCCTCTAGCAGCTATCAAAAATAGTTAATGCACCTTTAAGGTGAACTTTTCAAAAACAAACAGGCAGGGCATCACCACCATCACCCACAAAGTAAGGACAGAATGTCTGTTCCTTTGTTAGTTTCAGACTTGCCTTATATATTTTTAAATGTGCTGGCAAGCTACAGATATAGACATTTGGAGCACATAAAGTACAAGATTTGAACGAAGCCATACAAATCTAGAACTATATTTGAGGGATTCTTTGTCATATCATACTACATGTGCAAGTGGAAAGCAAATAACATCTCAGTATGCAAACCGTAGCCGCAGTCTGCAAATATCTGCGACAGTTTCACAAAATAAAATCAATGAAATGTAAACAAACTTGCACACAGTGCTTGAGTGGATTGATTTAAGTATGCCAGAGTTAAAAAGGTCATTCAAATCATTTGCATGTTCTACATGAAGGAAACCAGCTGAAGTTTATCCCAGTATAAGCTCATGTAAGTCTAAAGTGCAGCTTTGCATCAGAGACACTCTCCCTGCTTCCCACCCACACCTCTCACTCTCTCTCTGCGTGTAATGCATTTTTAAAAAGTCTTCTTTACAAAGGAAAACAATCAAAAACTGCACCTCGCTGCTGTCACGTATTTGGTTGTGTCCCTGATTTTAGCTCAGTAGGCTTCAACCTTGGTCTGTGTGTTATTAAATGTAAATTGTCTAATTAATAAATAAATAATAAATAGATAACTTCTGGCAGACAGTGAGTGGAGACATACTGTGTGACATCTGCTTTGTAGTTAGAATGGCGATGTCCAAAAGAATCTTGTTTACTAAGCAGACATTGGTCTTTGGCAGGGAAACCTGTTAGTCAGGGGAGACGTTTTTGGGCCATGAACAATGTAAAATCTCTGTTAAATATGTTATGTGCAGTAGACTTTGTGCCTCAGGCCAAAAACATTTTGTTAGTCACAGAAAGACACTTTAATCTTTTCTCAAATTTAACAAATGCATCTTATTCATTATTAAAAAGAATGCTACACAAATTCCTGCT